AGCATAACATAAGCACATAAACAAATAAACGTGATAGTCTAACACCAGTGGTCATATAAGTTGTTTGGTTAAAGAGGACAACTACTGTACTACCTTTCTCTGACCTGGCCCCACCTTCTTGTGGGTGGAGCCACTCTTTCTAACTCCTTTCAGGCTTCCCATGGACGTGACACCACCCTCAACTCCACCATTTCAGAAAAGGAGAACCCAGCTCTTTAAGTCTGGCCTGGAGAGGCAACAGAAAAGGGCTTTTGCCCAAGGCCACTACCTCAAAGAAGGATTTCTTCCCACCTCACTTACAAACCTTCTCCTACCGTACTGTTGCCTCCTTTGCACCCAGAGAAATCTTTTATGGCCTGGATTCATTCTTATGTCTGATATCTGGATAGTATAATTATATATCATCAATAACAAGAAAAGCTCTTCGGTTCATCCTAAAACCTCAGCTGGTAGAAATCCCAGGGACTAGAAAGAAAATTTCCTCTGTGTCTGTAAGGTCCCACAGTCTTCCTCTCAACCACTTTTGAGCAAATGAATACACTGGGTGAACCAAAGTTTTATCATGATTTTGATTTTTAGAGATTAGATAGACAGAAATGCAACAGACTTTTAAAGAAACAGAGATAAATTTTGGAATAGATAACATGCTTTCCAGGGTGGGGAGAGAAGAGGAGGGCGCATAACCGCTGTCATTCTTGGCCAGCAAAGTGAGCTACAGTCTTTCTGCTGTAACTTCTAGTTGTCCCAGATCCCTTCAGCTAGAGTTGTTTTGTCAGCACCTCACCCCAAGTGACAGCAACAGCAGTAAGAGAAACTACACGGGGGGCCCACTTGGCACTCTGCTCTCTCATTCTCCTCTACTGTTAGCTTATGGTTACCCTGATGTTGAAGTCACTAGCTATGAAGGCTGTGGTGTCATGGCTAAAGCCACTTGAGCATGGAGGCTATAGGCAGGGCTGGTGACAATCCCCCTGCCTCCATAACAATCACAGCGATAGGTTCTTCGTTGCATTTCCAGGGCTCCTTCTTGATCATGGCTCAGCATACTTGCACAGTCTCTGACATCATAGCCTCATGAGAGACATCTTCTGCTCTTCCCCTCTTCATTGGGGAAAGCAGAGGCTGAGTTTTCTGTCATTGTTTCAGCTCATGGGTCTCCAAGACTCAAGGAGATAAGCATTGGTGAACCTCTGGTGACAACAGCAAAATAATAAAAACAGAAACCTAACAAATTTGTAGTAATTGGCATGCATTAATAAGAAGTTAAGGTATATTTTATATGGGCAGTCTCCAGTATTGTCACCTATCCTATATCTGGTTCACCTGTAATATCATGTTAGTCTGGTTACACACTGAATGGGTTTAGCAGCAGGGGTGGGGAACCTGCGGCCTGGAGGCCACATGTGGCCTTTTAGGTCCTTGGGTGCAGCCTTTTCACTGAGTCCAAGTTTAACAGAACAAATCCTTTTAGTAAGGGGATTTGTTCTGTGAAGTTTGGATTTAGTCAAAGGGCCTCAATTGAGGACCTAGAGGGCCACATGTGGCCTCAAGGCCACAGGTTCCCCACCCCTAGAGCTCTTATGTGAATAGCTGACATCTCTGCCTCCATACTTCAGTTGACCGATGTTATGGGCTCTTCAACAGTTGTATACCTATAGACCTGCTTCCCTGAACCTGAACTTGAGCTGTCAATACTTCTATACTTGGTAGGTTTTCTCTATACCCTAAGAGTCTCTATAGTTGAAATACTAGGCAAGAAATGAGCTGCCACTGTCTGAACTGCGGCTCCCCTCAGTTCAAGACAAGGTTGTTAGGAAATAGCACACCATATCACCTTTACTAGAAATTATACTTTCAGAGTTGGTAAATGGTTCAGACAGTCTTTGTAAAGTTTGGTAGGCCCTCTCTTTTGCAAAGTCTGCTGAGGTCTATCAGTTTTCACCATCCGCTTATCAGAAAATCTCACTAAGTTTTTTATGCTCAAAAATTATTAGTGTTGGATTGTCTTTATGGGGCCCCCTCTACTCTCTGGGACTGTTCTGTAAAAATCGGCAAGTTGCCCAATTTCTCACTAACTTTATATGTGTTAGCTTTCCATCAGTCTGGTAACTTGTGTGCCTCTTGAACACCAAAGTTTCCTTTTAAAAACATTTTTTAAAAGTTTAAAATAGAGAGGCAGCTAGGTGGTACAGTGGATAGAGCACCAGCCTTGGAGTCAGAAGGACCTGAGTTCAAATCTGACCTCAGACATTTGACACTTACTAGCTGTGTGATCCTGGGCAAATCACTTAACCCCCACTGCTTCACCAAAAAGCCAAAAAAAAAGTTTAAAATAAAATTGACATCTTTTGTTTTTACATCACCCATATTTCCCACTGTATTCCCTCCCCATTCCTTCCAAAAGAACCATCCCCTGTAACAAAGAAAAAGGTTCAGTAAAACTAAACACATCAAACTGGTGTATAGTATCCCACAACTATGCTCTCCATTGCAAAAAAAAAAAGTAGGAAGAGAACATTCAAATTTCATTTAAGAACTCTGTCTCCTAGTTTGAGAACTTGAAAACTCTTGCATCATTTTGGTCAGCTCTTCCGAAGTGAAGTCATGGCTCATGGGTAGCCTTCTTTCAGCTGCTTTTTTAGCTGAGAGATTTAAATATTTGCATTATCTCTATCCTCAGAAACTCTACAGGACAAGTCAATACATAAGCATAGCTCTTGACCATACATAAGCAATTAATAGGATAAAGCCTAGGACATCATTCCTAAGGTGGTTGTTATCTGTACACTAGAAATGTCACATGCTAACATCACTGAGATTTCCTGTTCTACTCTTACAGTTTTTAACATGTTAAAAAGCACAAAGTGGTAAGGCTTAGGCTTTGAGTCTCCTTGTGGACTGTGAGGCTGGTAGTTCTAGACTTCTTGGTGCTTGACAAAGCTACATTTCCTTGAAAGCTCACTTCGGTCATAATGGATCCTGGCAGAGAATCCCATCAGTCAGTCAACAAACATTTAAGTGCTTACTACATACCAAGCACCATACTAATCACTGGGGATACAAAGGCAAAAACAGTGTTCCTATCCTCAATGCTTTAGCATCTGTGGATGCTTTCTGGTTCCTGCTTGGGTACACTTGTGTATACCTGGTAAGGATGATTAGTCATCATTAAGATATGAATCATCTTTGATCTTCCTTATGCTTGGGGTCCTAGGTATACAGGTGGGGTAATAATAGCACCTACTATACAGGCTTATGAAGATCAGATGAGATGACATATGTAAAGTGCAAATCTTAAAGCACTATATTTTGGTTATTATTATTTTTATTATTTGTTTACATGTTGCCTTGAAATTAATCTCTGCCTGTTTGGGAAGGTTGTTTGTCTTACGTATATGTATCCATACTGATTTCTTCTTCAGAATATAAGTTTCTTGAAAACAGAGAATGTTTTTATCTTTGTACCCACAATACCTAGCTCAGTGTCTGGTGCACAGTGTAGGCATTTAATAAATGCTTGTTGATTAAATGACTGATTCTACTCTAAGATCTCTTCCAGCTTTAAGTTTATGATTTTAAAATAATAGTTAGCATTTCTATAGTGCTTTAAGGTTTGCAAAGTATTGTAGATATAGCCAAAGTTATGGTTTTTCCAATAGTAATGTATGATTGTGAAAGCTGGATTGTAAGGAAAGCTAAATACTGAAAAATCAATGCTTTCAAATTATGGTGCTAGAGAAGGCTTTTGAGAGTCCCTTGGACAGTAAGGAGATCAAATTGGTCAATACTTAAAAAAATTAATTCAGACTACTCATTGTAAGGACAAATACTGAAGCTGAAGCTTAAATACTTTGGCTACATAACGTGAAGACAGGACATATTGGAGAAGACGCTGATGTTGGGAAAGATTGAAGGCAAAAGGAGATGGGGATGGCAGAGGATGAGATGGATAGATAGTGTCATGGAAGCAATGAACATGAGCTTAGACTTCAGAAGATAGCAGAGTTTAGAAGGGTCTGGTGTGCTATACATGGGGTCACACAGAGTGGGACATTGCTGAATGATAACAAGTACATATATTACCTCATTTAACTCTCACAACAAATCCTGTGAGGTAGGTGCTATTACTATTCTCATTTTCCAGATGAGGAAACTGAGGTTAAGAGAGGTTAAGAGACTTGCCCTAAGGTTACACAGCTAGTAAATGTTTGAGGCTGGATTTGTATTAGGGTCTTCCTGATGCCAACTCCAAAACTTTAATAATAATAATAGATAGCAATTCTATAACTCTTTAGGATTTGTAAATATATATATATGTATTATATATATATATATACACACACAACACACACACACACATACGTATACATACATATACATATCCTCATTTGAACCTCAAAACAAACCCTGTTAAGTGCTATTATTATTCCCATTTTACACAAGGGGAAACAGACTGAGAAAGGTTACACGACTTCTCCCAAGTTCATACAGGTAGGAAATGTCTGAGGCTGGATTTGTATTAGGGTCTTCCCGACTCCAAAATTCTAACAATAATAATAATAATAATAATGATAATAATATAGCTAGCATTTATGCAGCACTTCAAGGTTTGCAAAGCGCTTTACATATATTAACTGTATTCTGGGCCACCTAGTCACCTTATGAACTTCACCTCTGTCTCACCCCTTTCTGCTACCCTCTGCCCCCTAGGCCATTTCTTCCTTTCCCAAGTCTGAGCTCCGCCTCCTCCCTCGTGGATTCTTTCCCCTCTTCCGCGTCCATCCCCTCGGCTACCCCAGCGAAAGCCGGCCTCAGCTCCTAGCAACCGCATCCTCCGTTCCCTGACAACGGCAGGCGGCACGTCTCGCGTCATCACGCAGAAAGCCCCGCCCCTTAGCCTTACTCCCGCCCCCTGGCCCCGCCCCCTCCCCCGCGGCTTCCCCCCGCTGCCCCCCCACCCCCAGCTTCCCTTAGTCCGGGCTGCCAGCGCCGCCTGAGACTCTTGCTGAGCAGTCATGGCGGATCCCGCAGCCCCCGCGCCCGTCGCTCCGGCCCCGGCGGGTGGGCCGCCGGTGTGCGGCCCCGGCCCGGCGGCCGCCGGCTCGCAGCGCCTTCTCTTCTCTCACGACCTGGTGTCGGGCCGTTACCGCGGCTCCGTGCGCTTCGGGCTGGTGCGCCTCATCCACGGCGAGGACTCGGACTCGGAGGGCGAGGAGGGCCGCGGCAGCTCCGGGGGCTCCGAGTCCGGCGGCCCGGGCAACGAGGAGAGCCGCGCCAGTCCCCTGCGCCGCGGCTACGTGCGCGTCCAGTGGTATCCGGAGGGCGTCAAGCAGCACGTGAAGGAGACCAAGGTGAGTGAGGGCCTCCAGCGGGCTGCGGGGGTAGGGGGCGGGGGCGCTGAGGCAGCGGGGAGCCGGGGCCCCGGGGCCCGCGTGGTGGCCGAGCCTCCTGGGGAGCCCCGGTGCGGAGGCGGAAAGGGGGCGCAGCCCCAGCCCCCGGGGCGGGGGTTTGGGGGCCGCAGCCTCCACAGACCGGCCGGGGCAGGTGCAGTGGGCCCCGCGACTCGACCCGGTGCTAAGTCATTGCACCAGGGCTTAGGGCGAGCGCCGGCTGCAGAACTCGGGGCAGGGCCCTCGGGCTCCCGGACTCTCTGGGAGGTGGCTCTCCGGGCCTCCTCGCGCCTTATCGGGCCCAGGGACCGAGGCGACCGTATTGCACTTTGCAAGCTTGGGGCGGAGTTGGGGGTGGAGGGGAATAGGTCGAGCCCAGTTCCCAGGGTGGTGTAACGCTGACCCCCCAAGGAGCGACACCGACCGCATTGTGCATGGCCCAGAAGCCGTCCTGAAAGGAAAGGCCCTGCCTTGTCAGTGCAGGCGTTAAGGAGGCTCGGCTGGGAAGTTCCGTGGGGTATATAATGTTAAATCTGTATATATTTTTCTTTATTGCAAAGGAATTTGGTTTGCCCTTATTTTAGTCTGAGTACCTTTACATAGTTGCTAATGGGGAACTTTGTGAAAGCAAGTCAAATCGTTTGCAGTCCTGAGTAATGCTGTGTGTAGTACAGTATTCATATTAACCAAGGCTTGGAGGAGAACGTTGAGAGCTGAAGAGGGGGTGGTGGTGCTCGTTATAGGAACTGAAGGAATGATGACATTTCAAGGTTTGGGAGTGCATTTGAAAAGGCTAAAATGGGAGCTTTCAGGGGGGAAAAAGTTGCTCGTGCGTGATTCAGATAGAGAATGAAAATAGATAATGTATGACTTGAAGTAAATCTTAAACATATTTGGACTTCGTGGGAAAAAAAGCTTTAGGAACTATCCTATTGACTACTGCAAATCCATCAATTGGTAGTGAGACTTAAAGGGATTTTCTTGCCCCCAGGTTGTAAGCAAACATCACTCTTCCATATGGCTGTCTGCATTGGGGGTGGGGGAAATGGACTGATAAGTGCTGCAGCTTTAGAAAACAAAGGGTTTGGCAGCATATAAACTAGGACCAAACATATTTTGTTAGTTTGTGCCTGTTTCGCATAACGTGGATAGATATCAGTGACATACAAGTACACCCTTGTTTACCGTCCGTGTCCTCTCCCCCTCCTTGCCCCCCCACCCCCAATTTCTTTGCTTGGATAAGGCCTGAAATGTTTCAGCCATCTGGGTTGGGAGGCCTGATTTTTAGGGAGTGGGCACATTAGAAGTTAGTCCTCTGCAGGATTGGATTTCTCACATGGGGAGACAAAAGAGACTGAGGAATAGAACATCTTGGCTCATTATGAAGGGGGGGGGTCTTTGGATGAAGATGTCACTCAGGGAGAGAGGCCCCATCACAGGAAGAGACTGTAATCCATTTTCTAGTGGCAGAAGTGATTGCAGATTGCAGCTGGGTCTTCTACATAAGTGCTCACAGACATACACATTTAACCTTTTTCTATTCACACACACACACACACACACACACACACACACCACACGCGCATCCCCCCCCCAATTGCAAGTTGAGCAATAGCTGTTTTGTTCTTAAAATTAAAATTCTTTTGAAAATGCTTTTTGCAGTAGGACGCTATGTTAATGGACACTCATTATTTATGTCCTCAGGAAGTGGTGGATGTTTGTTGTTCGTTGCATATATCTCAAGTGCAAGTGGATTCTGGTCTCTTTCTTATGGGCTTTTGAAAAATGGTACTTTTTTCCTACCTTCTCTTTTTGTATGTTACAACTTAAATTTTGACTCTTTGCTGGTAGTCTCCATGGCTTCTTGATCCTGAGACAGTAAAGGAGCTAGTTCCTCATTTCCAGGCTCAAATTCTTTTCTTGGTCATTTCTGCATTGGTTATTGCGATGTTTGTAAGTTGTTACTGTCTTGGCTTCAGGGGCTAACTTTGTTTACAATTCTGGTTTTATCTGCCTTCTCTGTCTTCCTCCACTCCAGTGACTTATACTTTGAGTTATTTACTAGTTTTGAAGTCATCATAAAAAAATTACCTTATGGTTCCTACATTGACAAATTCTGGCATAATTCAAAATTATTTAAAACGTAGTTTGGCTAACTGTGTTAAAACAATGTTGTTTTTTTCTTTGCTAGAGTATTTTAGTTTCTGTGTTCCTACCTTCAGATTAGGGCATATCAAAAGGATGCTTGGAAAGTTGTGGATTGTAGCGTGATGGACTCAGAAATAGTTTTGATGAATTTAAGATTTTTGAACACATCAAATAGGAAGCCTATTAAAGATTAATTTTATATTTAATCAACTTTAACTTATTAAAAATAAACTGTTTATCCCAACAGCAACTAAAAATTATTACCTGTGCCTGTCACGTAGTAAATGCTGAATAAATATTTTATTTGTATTTGTCTGTTACTTCTGATCTTCATGATTGTACAAATATATTTTATACAGATATAAGCAGTATATAGCCAATATTTCAAGTTCTGTTTTTTCTTTATATTTCTTCATATTGATCTTTTTTATATTTATGTGTAATTCTTACATTTGCTATTCTTTCTGGCAGTTACCAGTACCCCTTTGCATTAATACACCACAACTTGCTTACCCATTTCCCATCCCATTGGGCATTGGATTTTTTCCATTTTTTAAAAAAAAATTATATATAGCACAGTTATGAGGGGAGTGGGAATGTAGAGATCAGGGGAATTTAAAATGGCTACTGGATCATGAATAGTGTCAGTGGCTCCTTAACTTTTAAAATAATCAGGCTTAATGTTTGGTTTCTTAAGTGCTTTGAAGTTACTAATGAATAAATTCACAAAAAGGAGACTGGCTGGCAAGTGCCCCTTTTGGCTCAAAACCAATGTGGAAAATTTACCAGCAGTCAGAAGCTTTCACTTGAAATTGCTGAGCCTTTGGCCCAGTCCTAAAGCCAGCCAGACCTAAGTTTTCCTTGGGCCTTAAGAAGTAGATTATTTGTTGTTCTGACCCCATATACTCCACGTATACCTTCCTTTCCTAGTCTCCTGACAGTCTTCCTGACTGTGGTAGTCAGTACAGAATTTATTTATTCTTAAATTTTTTGTAACATATTCCCTATGAGGTAAAACTTGTATATTCAGTTTCTTTATTTTTTTTAATTAATTAATTTTTAGTTTTCAGCATTCCCTTCTATAAGCTTTTCAATTTAAAATTTTCTCCCCCTCCCTCCCCAAGATGGCATGCAATCTGATGTAGGCTCTCCATTTGTATATTCAATTTAAATCATTCATTAAAGGACACTATAAGACATTATGCTTTCCCACATGGCCATCTTCTTACAATTTGGGGAAAACAACGCGACTTCCTTTCAGAGGCCCCTGAACTTAATGCTTGTCCTCCCAAAGGTATATGAAGTGTCACATTTTAGTATTTTAAGGTCCAACTTTGCATTACTTATTCTGATCGAAGAACATCTAAAAAGAGATTTTACAGATCACTCCCATCTGTATCTGTGCCTTTCTCATCAAACGCAAGCATTCTTTTTTAGTTTAGATTCAAGAGCCTGTATGTATGATTTGTCAGCAAATCAAATACGTCTTAGAAGTAACTTTCAGAATCACACTGTTTCTATGGGGCATCAGCACCTGTGTGTAGTGTTGAAACGGCCTTGGTGACAAATTCCACAGGGATTGGCATCTAGGTTTATTTTAGGCTCCTAGCTGGACCAGTGTTTCCATAGCCATTTAAATGCAGCATCATAATAGCACATGAAATTCTCTTTCCTTTGCCCAGGTGCCCGGTCCATTAGTGACTCTTCTGAGTGATGTAATAGGAAGGAGTTATGTAAGGTTAACCAAGATGCAGGACTAAGTGCATCTAATTGCATTATGTTCAGATATGATCACAAGTTTTTTTATAGTCTGTTCTGCAGTTTTATTCCTTTTCTTTTGGCTTCTCCTTCCTCCTTCTGGGACAGTGCTTGTGATGTGACTCTCCTTGGCTTGTGTCTGTCTCAAGAACAACTAACCTTTCACTAGATTAAAGGTTGCATAGTGAGTCTGACTGGAGTCAAGCCTCTTGACTCTTGGCTGTTAGTCAGTTTCCTCATCTGTAAAATGGAGATAATAATAGCATCTACCTCACAGGGTTGTTTTGAGGATCAAATGACGTAATATATGTATTTTGCAAACCTTAAAGCATGGTATAAATGTCCACTCTTATTGTTGTTGTTACACACTCTGGGTGACCTTGGGAAAGTCGGCAGTTCTGCTTCATTTCTCCCCACAGCAGATTAAGGGAAGCATGCTGAGTCTTGTTAATCAAAAAACTATTTAAATCAACATAGTTCAGATATTTGGAAGGTGGCTACTAAGTTAATGGATGGGCTAACACATGGTCACACAGCTAGTAAGTGTCAAGTGTTTGCTCAGAGGTCGGATTTGAACTCAGGTCCTCCGGACTTCAGGGCCAGTGGCTTTATCCACTGCGCCACCTCGCTGCCCCCAGAAAAATTTTAATGCAGCATTATTTTAGATAGATAGAACATTTATTGTTTACTGTGTAGTAGGCACTATGTCAAGCGTTTGAGAATACAGAGATAAAGAACCAAGATAGTCCTCTAGGAACTTACATTCTAATGGGGAAATATAGCACATGGGGTAGAGCTGGAAAGGTGAGGGGGCAGAGGGATGGACTTGATGGGGTATGGTAAATAGAAGGCCCAGAAATGTTCAGGAGGCCTAGAATAAGATAAAAGCGTATCAGAACCAGAGACCCCAGGAATGGAGTCCAAGTTTCTGGTGCAATTTTACGTCGAGTGTGCCATCTCTGGAAACAAATTGTGTAGAGCAGAGTCTATTTCAGTGGGACACAGAAATAATTAGCTGATCCAAGTGAGTTTTTCATCCCCTGTTTCTATGTTAA